TTTGATCGTAATTCTATTCAATTCTCGCCAATCGCACACCATTCTCAGAGTACCATCCGACTTTTTCACAAAAAACACAGGTGCACCGTATGGCGACTTACTTGGCTCAATGAATCCCTTCTCAAGTAATTCTGATAGCTGTGACTGGAGCTCGTCCATCTCTGGTTTCGGCAGGCGGTAGGCGGGTCGAGACGGTGGTCTGGCTCCATCTTCTATCTGGATTTCATGGTCGACTGGTCTCTTCGGTGGAAGCTCATTCGGCAGCTCGTCTGGAAATAAATCCTGGTACCTCTTGAGCAGGTTCTGGATGTCTTGTTGCTCTGATTCCTGGAGTTGTGGCCCGGAACGATTCTCCTCGTTTGCAGCAGTGACCCATGCAAGAAACCCCTCGGCTCCACTCCTCAGGGCATGACGAGCTTGTCGGCCACTGATAAACATGCTTTCCACAGATGGCCGGTCGGCTGTCGGCGGGTTAGCTGAAGGCAATTTGGCAACAAAGGGCTCACCGTCCAACTGAACTTCGTTCGTACGGAAGTTGATGCTGGGGTTGTTCCTTGTAAGCCACGGCTTGCCAAGAATAGCGTCGTAGCGAGTCAGGGGATACACAGTAAAGTGCTGTTCCTCACTGAAGCCCCCGACTGTCACCCTTAGCGTGCGTGTGGAAATCTGCGAGACCTCGCTGGTCGAGCCGTCCGCCAATGTTACGCTCAGCACTGCTGAGCTTGCATCCGTGTCAAGATGATGCTTTCGAACAAAACTGTCTGCAATGAAGTCATGCGTCGAACCGGAATCTATCAGCATCACTGCACGGCGACCGCCGATCTTTCCCTGTATGCGCAGTAGGTCGTGTTCAGGTTCATTGCCGACGCTGACGTTGCTGACATGACACCTTTCTGCAACGGGACAATTTCCTACAGCTATGGGTGTCTCCGGCTCCGTAGGTTCCTGGAGAGCAACGTCTTCAACCTCCAGAGCTCCGAACCGGTTAGCGACTGGTACCGGCGTGGGCGCTTGGGTCGTCGCCAGTAAGCGCACCCCCTTTCTTACTGGCGACCAGCGTTTGGGTAGCGCTGTCCACCCTCAGTACAGTCTTTAGCGAGGTGGCCTGGCTTCCTGCAAGCAAAGCAGTGTCCCATTGCTCGCAGATGGACACGCTCTTGGTCCGTCAGCTTGCGGAGGCCCTGACCACGGAAGCTGGGCACGGAACGCGACTCTCTACTGGCTGGTGGCCCCGACGCCGGTGGCCCTGACGACTGCTCCACGGTGTTTGCTGCCATGACAGCTTGCTCCAGGGTACGTGGATGCTCACGCATGACCTGTCGCTGGATGTGCGGCACTAGACCCCTGACGAACAGCAGCGCTCTGGTGTGGTGGTCGATTTCCGGCACTTGCAGGCTGAGGCGAGTGAAAGCAGCAATGTATGCGTCCAGCGACCCGCGCTGCGCTGCGGAAATTAGTCCCATACGCGATGTTTCCTCGTTGTGCCGTGGTCCGTACACATCGCCAAGTGCCGCTTTCAGAGCAGGCCAGTCGGAAAACACTTGGTTAGCTTCCAATGCCGCTATCAACCAAAGACGAGCGTTTCCAGTCAAAAATCCTGCCGCGTAGTCGACCCTCTGTGCCGCATTTGGGAGTGCCAACGACCGTAGGGCCATGTCCATTGCAAACGTCCATTCTTTGAATGTAGCGGAATCTCCTCCAAACACAGGCGGCTCTTTCGTAAGGCGGGGTGTTGGCTCCCACGGTTCCGAGTTCGGATGTATCGTTCGGTTTCCTTGGCTAACGCGCTGAGCGGTCTTGATATCGTTTATCAGCCGAACGACGAGTACGAGGAGCGTAAGCAGAGCGACCAGAACACCTGCCAAAAGCAGAGTAGTAACCATCCTCTGCTACCAGTGTAACAGGTTTAATCAAACTTGAAAAGTAAGACGCCTGGTTGAGCGTGCCTCGACCAGTTATATGCAAAATGTGATAGTATACATGTGGCAATGGCGCCAATGAAGGTGCTAATAGACAGGCGTAAGACGCATGAGGTGCGAGGGAGTGTAAAGTTATAGAGAACAGGGGAAAACTGTTACATTCTCTTCTTGGAAGAGGCAGCCCTGTTGGATACGGCGTTCCAAGAGAGGTTCGAGCGGACGTAGCTGGGTGCGTCGGCATCCACGATGCGGTTGTCAAAGTACGCCACCCTGTCTCCTTCCCAAACTCCCCGGACCAGCCAATCCGCCTGCAGTGTGGGACGGTTGTTGCCATCCTGCACAGGTACCATCACCGGCTCGACAGCCACACCTCCCCATGCAACGTCTGCCAGCCGGGCATCGAAGTCGCGGACATCGTTGTGCCCGCGCTTGATTAGCCCACCCTTCATGCAACCCAGACCATGCTGTAGGGAGAAAGCAGCTCCACAGCCATCGCAATGCGACGGGAGAGCGTTTGGCTCCTGGCCATAACGAATGGCCAACTGATCGCGGAACTGGACCGCCGACATGTCATAACCTTCCTGCTTGAGAGGAAGCACGGTCAACCAGCCGGAAGCGTTGCCATCAACGATGCGGTTGAGGGTCCGCTGTTGGCGGAAGCGCAGCTCAGAGGACTTTACTACGTTCCGTCATCTGCAGGTCTCGAGCACGGCTGACCTCGCTGGTGACTTGACGGCACTGGCTGATGTGGTGAGCCATGTCGACCGGTGCACCGGTGCAAATGGCAGCCTGCAGAATCTCAGTGGCGCGCTTCGATGTGGCATGAGCATCAGGGGCTGACGTAACGGGATTGGCCAGGCCGAGACCTCCCACTTTGGCTGGAAGGGCCAACAGATCTTGCTCAACGTCAAGCACCTCACGACCTAGCAAGCTGGGGGCGAATACGTGCCGGATAGTGTCCCGCAGGGGAGTATACTCGGTCTCGTTGCCTTCCAACACACGCTGGAGGTAGGTCCACTCGCACGAGAGGGATCTCGTAAACGCGGAGTGTGCTGACTGCGAGTACGCCTTTGCTGCCTTGGCAAGACAGTTGACACCATCGACCCAATCACTCACTCTGCTACGGACAAAGGAAGAGACTCCCTCTGGATCACCAATGTAGCTACCCAGGAAGCGACCGGAGGTGGTGACTTGCACGTTTAGATTGCCGAAGATTGTCTTTGCGGCCTCCACATGATGGGGCTTGACGATCACGATGGATTTCGAGGGCTCGGCGAAGTACCCAAACGCTGGACCCTGCTCAAGGAGGGAGAGGAACCACTCCTTGATTCGCAGCAACCTCCCGAGGCACGACGAGTCGTCTGCGTACCAATTCTGGATGTGATGACTTGGATCCTTGGGACGCTCGATGAGGGGCTGTATGCCGATAGCATACATGAGCATGGCTAATGGGCAGCCTTGGGTTGTTCCTTCGCAGCTGAGGATGGTATGGGTGCCGGCGCCATTTGGGTCTTTCAGAATTACCACTGGGAAGCCCCGATAGCAGTTGAAGAGGAACCTGGAACAGCGCGGCCACAAAACCCTGCAGTTCCAGAGAGCTGCTGGCCGACTGATGGAGTTGAACGCGTTTGCCGCGTCCACCAGTAAAAGACCTTCAGTCTCGTCCTGATTGAATAGCTGGGACATGGAGTGAACAGCAGCTTCAATACCAGCCTTGGCCCCAGAACATAGCTGGTCTGCACCGCAGGTCTCCTGCACATCCTGGCCGGTTGCAAGGGCCATTGCCTTTGCCTCAATGCGCTGGCGACACTCGCCGATGCCGATAGGACGGACACCGGGTTGCTTGTCCAACGCAATACCACGGCGTGCGAGAAAGGCTCTGATGTCAGACCACGGCACAACTTCGTTGGCGTGCCTCCGAGTTGAAGCGGCAACTGCTTCTCGCAGACGAGTGCTGGCATTTCCGAAGCGCAGCAGGAATGCACGCCAGTGATCAGAGTCGGTCCCACATGGTCCTGCACTGCCGAAGAGCCGTTTGGCAACATGTTCAATGTGAGCTCCCGTGATGTCCACCCTCTCCAATGCCGGGAGATCGTCGCAGGGGATGAACGAGTTCTGGTTGGTTGACTGGCTTTTGGGCGGGATGTTTTTCCTCCAGTGCTTCAAGAACAGTCTTGCCAAGCGGTCCTGTCTTGCACATTGCCTCGGAGTTGGGGTCCAGGACCCCACCACCACTACGGTCGGTTATGAGACGGACTGCAGCTCTCACTCGCCCTTCCAACATCAGCCGATTGAACGTCTGCTGCACCTTCTCCTCGGTCATGGGGCTCAGCGCGGAGCGTAGGCGCTGATCGCAGCGCTCTGCTTCACGCACTAATTCACGTAGCTGGCCAGCTTCCCACATATCCATGCGGCGTGAAAGAAGCGGCCGGATGGCCTTAGCTTTCCGAATCATCTTGTCTCTCTGCAGCATCAACGCAGGAAAGATGAACTCAAGCTCGGAGGGCTGCCGCTTGTTATTGGCCAGTTCAATTTCCTCTGCAAGGATATTGATGAAACGGGTACCAACATTGCCATCTGGCAGAGCGTACTGCTTTCCGCGAAGGGCGACAGTTCGCTGCCACAACACATGTATCTCGGGTTGAGGGCCGATTTCTGCTTCTATGTTCACCAGTGGTGCACCGAATGCTTCCAGAAATTTCATGTGTACCAGATCCTCGAGCTCTTCAACCTCGTCTTGGGAGCTTGCGTTGGCGACATCATCCTGACTGTCAGCCAGTGAGGCCAGAAGCTGGGCGTCGCGAGCGATCGTCCCTGATAGTGTTGGGTTGTCGTCGCCGCCTGAGGGTGGCAAGTGCGGAAGCGGAGACGCCTGGGCCTGTGCATGTGTGCCTACTACGCGGTTAGGTACGGGTACGGGGCTAGGTACGGTAGCGGTGGTTGCTCTGTTCGAACACTTCTTGCTGTTGCCCGGTGTGCATTTGCTGTGTGTGTACAATCTGTACATGTGTATGCATGTGTGTACATGTGGGTGTATGTGTGTACATGTGGGTGTATGTGAACATGTATGTATGCTTCTAGGTCTCGCCGAACAACACCGACCTTCTGTAACTTGTCCTGGTTGGATTGTGTCCGCTCCACATCATCGTATTGACCAGTACTGTCATACTGATTAAATCTTGTGCATTCCTCCCCCCACCCTCCCCTACCCTGCACAAAACATTTGCAGGGGCTCCCTAGATTATTTAAAATGCATCTGAGCAGAGATTTTGATTGTATCTTCCACCAGAGATTCTTCGTCACGACCATTGTCCATGTACGCTGTTACGTGTTAGAGTGAGCCTACGAATATTGTTCGTTTCAAGTGTGCAAGTTTTAGTTTTTGATGTACCATTCTTTACTGGAGATGTTTTGGTGACCATACATTTTCTGTCACTTTTAGGCCTTTTTTTAAACTATGGATACATCTGAGATGAGAGAGTCTCTGTAGTGCCGATGTCTAGCCTTGTCATAATTGTTAGCCTTAGAAGACCAGTTTACCGGCAAAAGTCAACGATAATAACTTATCGCTCTTTGTATCCGCATCACCAGAGTATTGCAGCTGTTACACAAACTATGCCTGCATGACTATCATGGTCCAGAAGACTGTTTGTCCTTGCCATTGTGACCGGTGACATTGGGAATTTACTGCAAAAAGGATATTTCAATGGTACATGTGTTCTTTCCTTGGCCGCAGCAGAGGTTTGTGGTGGCACATCCTTGAGAATATTATCCATTCAGCTGTGCACTGCGGATGTTCTTGGGTTTTTTTGTCTTGCCCGAATATTTTTATAAGCCCGATCATTGGATGTCTTGCATAGTGCATAGTAGTATTTTCGTCTCGTCTAGCACTGTTAGATCGCATGCGGTTTAGCTCTGGTTGTCACTCCATGAAATTATATGCGCTCTCCTTCTCATCTCTATCCTAGTCCTTCAAACAGCACTCTTTCTATTTCTTTAGTTCCGGACGGGTTGCAATAGAAGCCGTGTAGAGTCTTTGCTATTGCTTTTTTCTGCCATTGCAGTCTTGTTTACTACTCTGCGGTTGGCCTCTTTGTACAGTGATGGTAACTTTTCATGGGTTTTAGGAGCTGCACTTATTGCATGTGTGTTTTGCTATTGTGAATTTGTGATGTTGGCAAGTCTGCATGAGCCAGAAGGCTCAGCACAGAGATCTACTGGTGTGATATCCACGGAGCCTGGCCGGCTCAATGACTACATGCCGCACTAGTTGCATGGCTGTCAGTATTGCATGGGGCCAACACGTGGCTCATACCAGCTCCCTCTACCTCAATTCCGCACTCTCAATTTTTCATTAAAATGACTTGAGAGGAACTGAAAATCTCTGTAACATACTAGCACCGATAAAGCCGGGTAGCGAATTAGGCAGTGATGGAGAAAGTAGAAGGAAAAAGGGAAGAAAATGACTGCCTCTGTGGGCCAATGCCTAAGTCAGTTGAGCAAAAACATGGTCACGGCAGCTTCCAATGTGAGTTCAGTGAAGTCTGGAAGCTCTTCTAGCATGCTATGTGAGCAAGAGGCCAGCTCTTAGTCTAGTGCAATTGTGGACGAGACTATTGTAGTGAACGGTTGTGGGCGAGACCAGCTCAGTTCGAGTCGTAGTGTTGTGGCTTCGTGCAATGAAGTAGCAGCTCTCTGCGGCGGAAGCATACACCGAATGGCAAATACTGTAGTGAAGAAGAGTAGAGAAAAAACGAAAGTGGAAGAAACTCATTGCACACAAGTTTCTATGGATTTCCCATTTTCCCATGATGAGAAGTTATTTTGATAATGTGCCTCATGACCATGTAATTGTTGCCGTGGTTGTGCCTGAGCTGGGTTTGATTGCAAATGCCCCTCGCACCAGCTCTGCTCCGTCCACGGCAAATCCACTTCCTGGGCGGTCCTTGGACGTCTTGGTAAGCTTCAAGCGGAACATCGAGAACATATTATGAACTTCTGCCGATGATTCAGTGAACTGGACTGTTGCCATGCGCTTCTGCAAGTTCACTGACAAGCTGGCAATTGTGCCGGCTTCAGCTTGTATGTAAAGAGCAACCGGTTCCAGGAATGCATTAATATGGTAGGAGTCACGCGGAAGGATGCTAACAGTTCCATTCCCAGCTCCGTCGCCGTCCTTGTTGCCACTAACACTGACATCACATAAGTAACACAGTGTGCCCAAACTCTTGTCTTCTACGTAGTAGAGGCCCGACTCCAGACTATGGCCAAAGAATCCAAGACCAAAGTCTCCAGAGTGCGGGTCATAGTCCATCACATAGGGGAATGCATGCCACATCATGCTGGGTGCTCCACTTTCATCAATGTTTCCCATTTGTCCGGAAATAGCTCCCATGGCAATTTCCAGCAGAAAAAGCTCGTCGGGATGAAGACGATACCATTCGATAAGAGGTATCATGTTCAGACCGGCTCTGTAGTGCATGTTGCCACGCGTGTCCAGACCGGTTCCAAAGTTGGGCAAATATTTCCCATTGTTGCCTCCATCTCCCCAGGATCGTGTGCCACCGTTATAAACCCAGGTGGGAGAAGATCTCATGTAGGACAGAACATGGTCCACTACATTCTTAGCTGCCGTCTCGTTGCGGTAGTAGATATTCCACACGACGACCTCTTCTTGGCCGGTGGTGTCGAAGGCGAATTCTGAGCCGTACGGATGAGGGTCGAACTGCCAGCGGTCCTGGCGTGATTTCATGTTGGCGTCCAGCCGTTGTGAGTAGTTGGCCATCGTGGTGTTCCCCGCTCCCTCGACCTTGAGCGCATTCAGCACCTCACGGAACACCGTGCCGTCCATGAACCCAACTCCTGGTGTTCCGAGCTGCAGTATGGTCTTAGCTGCTCTCTCCAGATACCAGTGCCATGGCATGCGCGTCTTCAGTCTGTCGTAGTGCCGGGCTACGTGATACATCGCCCAGTATGATGCTACCTGGTGTGGGTAGTTGAATCCACGGTACGTTGCATTGGCCATGTGCTCCGACATACACCATACCGGACTGCCGAACGGCTTGTGACATTTGTCGGCCTCCGTGTACTTGTACGGGAAATGTCCGGAGGAAGTGTTGCTCGGTGAGCCGGCGTCTGAGTAGTAGAACATGGTCATGCGAATGCCATTCCATGTATTGTTGTCCACGCTTTCATCTCCCTCTTGGATCTGCAGTGATTTGTATGGCGCTTTGGCTGTGTCCGGCTTGTATCCATACAACGTCCACTGAATGTACTCATCAATTCGTGACACCTCGAATTGGTCTGGAGATGCTCGCACTTTGGAGGCCATGCCCAGCGGGCCAGAGCCACCGGCATCATCGCTTAGACCCACGTCATATGCACGGGCATCCTGCAGGACATGTCCACATACATTGCCATCGTCACACATAGATCTATCCCAGGGCATGACCGACGCAGAACGGCCAAAGGGGTCCGGGTAGTCGCGAGGGAGCCACGTCACATTGGCGTAAAAGCGCCCCAGTTTAGAGACTTGCTGCGTGAACGGCGGTAAGATGTAGTAGTGCACTTCAGATGATGTTTTATCGGAGTAGGTGACTGTGACTCGGACCCGCCCTCGTCCTGCACCGCTGACTGGATAGTGCATGAATCCACCCTCAGTCCTAGTGCCTTTCCCCACTGCAATACTGGCTTGGTCTATTGGCTCTGCAACAACATTGTTCACTGTTCTGTCGGTGGGTGCAAGCACAAACAAAGCAGCAGTCTTCATCTCTGTTGATAGGACATATCCCGGCACACCGTGTATCACAGGTTCGCCCATAGTCTCTAGGGCCTTGTTGCGATTGCGTGGTCCTCCACCACCCACAAGTTGAAATCGTAGGGCAAACGACACTGTCTCTTTCGGCTTCAGCACCAACTCTGTAGGTTTGTTCCATGGATTCTTTGCAGCTGGTACTTTGGGCATTCCGCGAGGCCCCGTACACGATGGCCACGGTGTCTGTGGATTGACAGCAAACTCCGGATAGATATTAGCTAGCGCATTGCTGATGTTGAGGAAAGGGAACTGTGTGTTCTCTGCCCAGTCCGCCGCCCAGGCACTGGTTAAGGGCATCCATTCCCAGCTATCACCGTGGCCCTGATCCTCCAGCATAGGTCTCCAGCCCTGCAATGGCGTGGTCAGTGGATCACCGGGCACAACTAACAGCGTGGCGTGGTCACCAGCTATGCGTACAAACTCCACAAAGCCGTGCTGTCCGCCGATGTGTGGGTCGTTCCAGACGACTGCATCGATATCCTTGCCGGGATTGCCGGCACTCTCCGGCAGTGCAAAGCCGACCCCGCCAAGTCGCACAGCCTCGTCTGCAACGCATGTGACGTTGAAACGCATTATCATTGCTTTGCCGTCGGAGGACTTTTCATAAGCCCTCACCACCTGCACGGGCAAGCTATCTGCTGATGAAGTGTTTAGCAGTGCTGTGATGTCTTGAGCAGCTAAGGTTGGAGATTCAACCTTCAGTGGTTCTGCATTGGCAGTCATGGCTGCCGAGTTGAAGAAGGACCAGCTACGGTTGTCCGTTTCAGACTCTTTCTGAACACGAATGGTGATGTCTCCCAGTATAGCCATATTTGGATTGGCGGATGAAGTGGTAACCGGTCGTGTGAACGACCAGAGACTATCCGCGGCTGGCTGCACACGACTCAAATTCTGAATGGTGTAGTAATCCTGCCTGAGGCGAATAACCAAGTTGGAGTCACCACCTATTTCAATCGTGTCCGCTGGCGGGGATGGCACACAGTGTTGCGTCCATGTTGACCAGTTGGCACTCTTTGTTATCGGACCCTCTATCGACTTGAAGAATACGTGTACTTTGGACTGTGTAGAGTTTGAACCAACATAGGTGATTCCCACACACTTTGCGATGCTGGTACAGTTTGCTTTGGCTTGCTCCACCGTCATATCGGTGGGCGGCTGAACGTCGTGGTCGCTAGGCAAATATCCAGTTTGCCATTGATATTCGCCACGGCATGGCGCATCCTGCAGGCTACGGAGAGGAGAGAGACCCTGGACAAACAATGCACTAGAGAGACTGAACAATATGCCCAGTGACAACGACATTTTCACCTCAAGCTCAGGTCATTACTTGGGTCCGGATTGTCGCCAATTTACTTCACCTCAGAAGCAGCTAGCTACGTACAACAAGAGTCGGCGATAGTTGTTTCTTCTTCGAATGCCTGTTCATGACTTTGGCACAAGAATTGACGCTCCTTGTTCCGTTTCAATAACAAAATTCACATCTAATCTTGGCACATACCGGTATAAGTACGAGTAGTCTCCCAAGCTGGTTAGCTCAGTCATAGGGCGGATTCTGATGAAATCAAGAAACTAAACAAACGCCAACAAAACTGTCTGTAGCCGCAGAACTAACTTGATAACCGTCTCACGTGATGTTTTCGTACCCATGCCATGGCATACCACAGCCTATCCTGGTATCATGAGTATAGCGGTATGCCACATGCGCACGGTAGGTATGGGCTGGTACGTGCAAAAGAAGCGAACCCTGTTACCCTATGTAGTATGTATCTCGGACTCGTCGTTGGAGTCACCTAACCATGTATGATTGTCGAGTTGTCGACCCAAGAAGGATTAGGCGGCGATGGGGAAGGAGGGCTAGGGGTTGCGTCAACAATGATGATGTACTTGACAGCGGGCCGACTGGCTGGCAATCTGTGTCCGCGATCCGGACGTCCCGACCCTATACTACAAGTTACTTACTACATCCTAAAATCCGAACACCTCCTCCTAGTCATGATCGAGTTGTTACTACCGGTACGCGGTGCGGACAGCATGACAAGAGACAAGAGACTGTGGGGTGTGGTTAACCGGTTGGATATGACACACATGCCGTGGCGGGAAAACCAACAAACTAGGATGATTTGTTAGGGTAGAACTGCATACATTATGACATGTCATGTACATGACTGGATTGCGACTACTAGCACTGTAGTACATGCACGTAAATGTAAGCCTCGTCATAAGCTATAATTAGATCTCCCATGCTTGTAACCTTGTTGTCAGCACTTCTAGAACTAGTACTTCTACCACTTCCTTTTAGTTAGTCAATCACGTCGTTGATTCCGGAATGTTCCATACCTTACAGTAATATGCCTGATGAGTAATGCTGCAGACTAAATTGCATATCTCACCTTCTAGAACACCTCGCTTAGTCATTGTTACGCAATGCTCACTTCATCTACATGTATAGCAATGATGATCTAGGTTTGCCTTCTCCACTATTCTAGAACTTGTAGAAGGATGATTTCGTAATCCTTGTCTTACCAACCTTAGTTCTCTACCTTCGCTATAAAAGCTGCTGCCTTTCTAGTTTCCTACGGACTAGTACGGGATTAGTTTCATGCTAGACTACAGTGTATTACCTGAGAACTCTTTCTCTCTCTCTCTCTGAATAAGTGTGCAATTCCGTATGATAACCATTACCCATTACTGTACCCTCGTGCTCTGCCGACTGAGCGAAACCGAAACGCAACATTTGGCGCCCAACAGCGGTTCCGAACCCACGACGACCTGAGATTTCCGTATTCAATCGTAGCCAGTATTTTCTTGCACAAGTTTTTCTCCTCCTAATTCCATTCGTCAAAATGAAGTTCGTCCCAGTCTTCTTCGTCACTCTAGTGGTATGTCTAGCTGTCATTAGTGTCAACAATGCTGTAACATGGCCAGCGCGTAAGCACGAAGATTCGCAAGATGATATGAAGGCTTATGCTGCGTACGTGGACAATCTCCTACCTCATAGCGCTAGGTCTGACCAATCGCACGCCGTGTCTGTCAACGTTGATTCTCCTTCCTGAACCTACTACGAGAAACTCTTCAACCACATCTACGGAAATATCTAGTAAGTCGTTTCACTGTGCCAACCCGATCATACAAACTACGCTATCCCTCGCTCGTTTATTCGCTGTCTTTCCGCTACCATAGGCATAGTTGTTCCAGTCTTTTTTTTTCACACTCTCAAGTCGCATCATTCAACCCATCCCACTCCCAGCCCCATCATTCTATCAAATGTCTATCTTACATACCGTACACAGTACACAGTACTGTAACTACATGTAGTTCTGGATCACTCAACGTTTTACAATGGCCACACTCAAGCACAACAACAGCTTTCTCAAGTGACAACACAGCTTCCTAGCATCTTCATTACCCATACAGACCATGTCAACCACATACAGACCATGCAATCAGTTTGCTGGATCAGCAGTCACCAGTCCCTGCCCTTGAACAGACGCAAAAATAATGAATACCCTGCACGCACGCACGCAACTCACAAATCCATGTAACATGATATACCGCCACATGATGAGCGAGTATACTTTCCCAGTTTTCCCGTCCCCAAGAGAGACGCGATTTTTTTACACATTCCTTTTTCACCGTCCAAATTGAGACGTGAACATACATGTACACATTTTACCGCTCCACAGAGAGACAGGTCCTTCACACATTTACATCTTACACACAGGGTCCCTACTTTATTCTCAGTCTACCAAAGCCATACTGTCCTGCCACACATGACAATCCATGATTACAATTTACATTACACGAATCCATCATCACATACACCCGTGCCACACTCCACAGCTACAATACAATCATATGGCCAGTTCCTTCCAACAATCCAGCTCTTCTACACACACTCATCATTCCTCATTTCACCCACTCCCTCTGAAGTCTCCCACCCCGCCCGCTACTCTTTCTTTTTCTTTCTTCGTGTGATTTGATATCTTGCCACTAGTACCGCTTTGCGTTTTCTTTCTCTTTACTGCTATTCATGTACATGTCCCCGTTTACATTTTAATTCGCATGTGGACATGCGCCCGCAAAGGGGAGAGCTGTGTTAGGGTAGAACTGCATACATTATGACATGTCATGTACATGACTGGATTGCGACTACTAGCACTGTAGTACATGCACGTAAATGTAAGCCTCGTCATAAGCTATAATTAGATCTCCCATGCTTGTAACCTTGTTGTCAGCACTTCTAGAACTAGTACTTCTACCACTTCCTTTTAGTTAGTCAATCACGTCGTTGATTCCGGAATGTTCCATACCTTACAGTAATATGCCTGATGAGTAATGCTGCAGACTAAATTGCATATCTCACCTTCTAGAACACCTCGCTTAGTCATTGTTACGCAATGCTCACTTCATCTACATGTATAGCAATGATGATCTAGGTTTGCCTTCTCCACTATTCTAGAACTTGTAGAAGGATGATTTCGTAATCCTTGTCTTACCAACCTTAGTTCTCTACCTTCGCTATAAAAGCTGCTGCCTTTCTAGTTTCCTACGGACTAGTACGGGATTAGTTTCATGCTAGACTACAGTGTATTACCTGAGAACTCTTTCTCTCTCTCTCTCTGAATAAGTGTGCAATTCCGTATGATAACCATTACCCATTACTGTACCCTCGTGCTCTGCCGACTGGGTGAAACCGGAAACGCAACAGATTGATGATTGATGGTGAAGCTGAGGGTGTCATTTACATGTAGATTAATTATTTTAGCAATGGAAGAAGCTAGTGAACTGAGCCATACGTAGTGCATTTACAATCATTGAAGGCACGTTGCCTGCTAAGACTTTGTGTAGATGCCGCCATTCCCCACTGCTGACATATCCTGGTCAGTTGCATACACTCAGCTGACTGGTCGCCTCCCCTTTCCTTCTCTTGCTGCCATGATTGCCATGACGTGCAGTACTGCTACACTGTGTAGTAGTGTGTACAATCATGTACATGGCTTTTTCTGTTACCTCGAATGGTTAACAATCTGTATCACAATTAATTTTGTGGGTTCAGCAATAAAGGAGATGACAGTCACACTATGTACAATTGTCATGTACATGTACTTGCCTGTACTCGTGTACAGACTGAAACGTGTTTTAACTTTTAGTATTGAAACACACGAACAGAGCATAGGATGGAAACAGAGAACATCAAAATTGATTTAGAAAATGATTATGAGAATTGCAACATTACTCATTAGCAATGATTATGTGTACCCACTAAGCCTTCTAAGGTAAGTACTAAGGCCTAAGCCTAAGGCCAGGGCACAATGATTGACAGATTGTACATGTACATCACTCATCAGCCATGCAGTGATGCAGCATACCTATGCCATGGCCTATGCTTATGCACTGACTCAGTGACTCTCTGCTATGCAGGTTTGCTCTGCCTTGCCGATCAACAACCATGCACTGGCACTGAACCTGTTCCATCACTGCATCAGTGCGGAACGGTCGGCCCTTGTTCATAACGGTTACGTTCAGACTGCAGTGCCGACACGGCCGTGTACCATGCCATCCATGGTGTAGAACTACGGCACTACCATGACTACGGGTAGACCTGGTCGACTGCATGCATGGGCATATGCAGGTATGTATGGTTGTCCGCCTACTGGGAGTACTGCCACTGCCGACTGGTTTATGACTCCCTGCTAGTGCTACTGAGTACTGTCTCAGGCTGTCTGACCTTGGTAGGTAGCTAGCTGTAGCTGTGTAGTGCGGGCTAGCACCTGCTGCAGAGGCAGACCACCAGACTAGGCGCAGTGATGACCGACCGTCAGTGAGTGCGGCTGAGCATGAGATGAGCGGCGGGTGGTCGAACCTATCGTCCTCCATTTTTCTTCTTTCTTTCTCCCAGTGCAAATGCAAAGAGCGGGCGGGTGCCGCGTTACTATTGAGTCTGTGTCACATTAGTGTGTTGTACGCATTTTTCTGACTGGGATTGCAGGTGAAACAACGCCAAGCAGGTTGCCTTGATCTTCCGTAGGATCGTTCCGTGGGACTATTGTGCTGGTAGCTGCTTGAGGGTAGAGTTATGAGCGACCTGGCCGTGGACAACGGCTGAAGCCGAGCTGTTAGATTTCCAGCGGCTTGGTGTTGATCAAGCTGCGCAGCGGAGTCGTGCTAGTTTCGACAACCACCATCCGCCTGGCGTCATGCAGGCTGGTGTAACGTTTCTCGCATCGCTTTTTGCAGCTTGCTTCTGCTGCTGCCATGCTCAGGCGCAAGGAGAAGATGGCTCGGCTGTAGGGTTCCCTGACAAAGTTCAGGTCTACTTTCCGCAGAAGACTTCTCTGTCCTTTTGTGAGTAGCGAGCCTTCGGTCTTGTTTTGCACGACTATCGGCTGCGACGGTTGGATGTACCGCGTTTGTCCTTTTGATCACGTATCCTTCAAGACACTTAGTAGTAGGGATTGTATTGTGCTTGCCACCGTATTTGTGTGCTGTGTGTGTGTGGTGGGTATGGAAATATTAATGAGTGGTCTGTCAGTGTTCGAGTTTCCTTCTGCACTTGCTGAAGTTTTGCTTGTTTCGGTACGGCATGTGTGCTTTCCGCCTTCGCTCCACCGCCAGCCACCTGCCATGCGCCGAACCGCGAGTGAGGTTGTGCATTTCTTCTGGTGTGTCCTCTGTGTGTTGCAGTGGAGTTTCCCCGCAACGATGCCAGGTTCAAGAAGTTGTTCCTGGTCAATCGTGGGCGAACAGAAGTGAAGGATGGAAGCATCATGTTCGCAAAAGGCAAAACGTACACTAGTGCGAGCCCGAACATCAAAGTCGTTGCGAAGATTGTTAGCTCGGGCTCATCTTCGGTAAGTCGAGTTCTGGTTTCCTTGGGGTGCATGTACTGTAATACTGATAATCGTATCAGTCAGACACGCCACTTGTAGGCAGTAGTACGTGTGCCACTCGGCACTTGTGTTGTTCTTCGTCGAGAGCATGACTTGTAGAAACTTGGGAGGGAGAACGACTACCATCAATATTTTTTTCCAGGCGATGGCCTTGAAGCTGCATACCGTGCGGCAGGCAGCCCACCTGCTGTTCGAAGAAGCGACTCCTGGCGAGCTTGTTGGTATGATCACTCGTACTCATTTTGTAATCGAGGTCGTGACTCATGTCCGTCATTTTGCACGCTCGAAGATAACACCTTCCCAACCTCCTGATGGTTACCTTCTGCAGTTGTGTTGTGTCACTCACTGTACTTGCGCGTGTGTGCGTGTGTGTGCATTTTGACTGGGTATGATTGTGTGTGCCATGGCTGCAGTTACCTGGCCAAAGCACCCTGGATGGCTTGAGTGTCTCGCTGACAGCCGCCGTCGAAGGGCAAGGGGTTGTGGACGTTCACGTCACGACCGTTGGCCTTGCTTCCAAGAGCCTCACAGCCAGCAAACTGAGTGCCAAGCAGGCACTGATCGCGGCCAGTGGACGCCCGCTGGACGAGGAAGCCAGAGCCAAAGGAGGTAAGAGATAGGACGTATTCTAGTGAGAGACGTCTCTCGAGCGGTGCTTGTGTGCGAGCGTGCATGCAGGTTGTACCTGCTTTGTCAGTTTGTGTCTGTAAGACTACAGTGCTATGATCCTGGAACGCGTTTTGTATCCGTATCTCACTGTTACTTGTTCGTACACGCTACACGGCGGTGTCGCCTTCAACCTTTGCGCATACCCCGAGCCTCCGGGCTGGACAATGACATGGAGATTGCTCACTACATCCCTTGCCTGTGGCTGTGGCCTGCGCACGCATGGCGTCAGGGTGCATTTTTTCCTCCTGTCCACGTCGCTGCAAGTCTGACCTGCACAAAATAGAAGTGCACGGTCCTCTCGAACTAACTTGTCTTGTATGACTGATTGTACATACATGTGTGACGGAGAAGAACTATCCTAGCCAGCGTGCCATCATGATAATGTCACAGCAGTGTCAGCAGTGGGCTGGTGGTTGGACATGGAGGCAGTATGGAGCCAATAATGGCAGCATGGAGCCAACAATGGCAACATGGAGGCAGCATGGAGGCAGCATGGAGCCAACAATGGCAACATGGAGGCACATTGATGTAATGGTAGTGAACAGTCATCTTGATTCAGGAATCTCTCCCCTCTCTCTCTCCCCCCCCCCCCCCCCCACACACACACACACAGACACACTCTCTGCAGGCTCTAGTCCTGCTATCAGATCTAGCTTCATGCTATGTAATTGTTTATCCTTCAATCCTACATGTGAACACACACACAACAGTACACTGCCTTCATGTAGATGTAATTGCATGCTATTGCATTCTAAATGTGTGTACTGCCTAATAGGGGAACATTGACCATTTTTGGGACGCCCTGCGTATAGAAAGCAGGATGTATGGTCATGTACTGGAGAGAAAAGGCGGCTGAAGGTAGCGCAACTGTAATGACATTAGCCAAGGGTGAACACAGTTATTGAGTTTATTAGAGTACTTTGAAGTGGAAGGGTGACTTGTGTTCCAGGAGAGAGAGCAATGCGCAGTTGGGTAAAAACCCGTAAAGTGGTTGAAAGTGGCCCTTAGAGCGTTTGAGCAACTGCATCTGCTGCACATGCTCAGTGCCTAGCAGATGCTTTACTTGCAGTCATAGTAATCATTGTGCATAGTCCTGGGCAGCAGGTGTGCTAATTAGTGGACGTGCTCCCTTTACCCAAGAGACACTCAACTCTAAAGGGAATGCTCCCAGTTTACCCAAGAGACACTCAACTCTCAAGGGAGCTAGATGCACTTTTCCTGAATATGTATTGGGGTGCGGGTGATTTGGGCTTTTGGCACTACTACTGTAGATGCAGATATGGGGCTTAGGTTTGTCCAACTCCATGTGTGATAATATGGAGGCAGAGTGATGGAGCATAACAAAATAGTAGTAGTAATACTTGCCTGCTGAGTGGGCCGGTCGAGGCAGTGGTTGGCACAAGCTGCTAATGACCCCGCAGCTATTCGGCCTGTTGAGCATAGGTGAAGCAGGAGTATGTGTTCCGGCAAGGCTAGTTGAGAGGCCAGGGGTGTGTGGTTCCCCTCAATCCTCTTCGTCGTGATCAAGGGCCGGCACATGTGACTGCGTGTACATGTGTATGTAGCCTAATACACATGTGTGTGTGTGTGTGTGTGTGTGTGTAGCCTAATACATGTGTGTGTGCACGTACATGTATGTGTGACTGGCATTGGAAAATGTCATGGTTGGTAATGACCGTACCAAGCGGCCTTACCTTACATGTATAGGAACTTACAAATGTGTAGAGCACGTGTTTGCTGCTACTGATACCCTGAAAACTCATTATTCAAACATGAAACAGGTGTGAATGTAATGCTTCCAGTGGAGTTTTTTTGGTGACTAGCTGTCATACCTTCCCTGATCACATCATGTCCTAACCATCTAACTAATATTACTTGGTAGACATGATGGGACTTTGGCACTAGTACTATAGTAAGGAGTGTCTAGTACCCACTGGCACAGCCTTGCCCTGTGAAGAATCTCCATCGGAATGTGCATTGGATAGCTTTTCAGGCTCCCTGGATGTCACCATGTCAATGCGAGTAGTCCACTTGGGGCTTATTGTTGTCAGGCTTGCACTGCTCCTTGAAATTGGCAGTGGCCTGTTGAGGTGAGATGAAGCCTGGCACTGGGTATGACAAAGTTCCACATTCCACCACTGGTTTAGTGGCCTTGGATGGACTGGTTGGCAGGCACTAGCACTACCCCATTTTGTACAAGTAATATGTCGCATGCCATTCCAATCTCTGGGGGGGGGGGGGGGGGGGGGGGGAACTGACAAAACCTAATGCACAGCATGAAGAAGAGAAATTATTTACCTCCTAATGCAATAGGCTAGTCTCTGGCTTAGGTTTTTTGTTTACCTGTTTTCAAAATCTACGTTTGGATACAGTGTAATGCCCGTACACAGATGCAATCATGTAGGGCGACATAGGCTGTAATGAGGTGCAGAGATGTTTCAGCCCAAGAACTTATATTGGTAACTCGTGCCTTGAAAAAGCTGTTTGTATTGAACATCAGTGTGGGAGAAAAGGAAGAAATGTTAGCATAGTACAAAGCACCATTGTATTTATGGTACATTGGTCTGCACACTTATGCACAAATAGAATGATATAAGCCCATTTAAAAGGAAATGACAGTCTTTCCTTTTTGAAATCTCCTTCACTTGCCAACTGCCTACTGTCCATTCACACATGCACTTGCTTTTTGCAATGTTATGCTTTGTGCTTACACAGAATTCAATGTTTCAATGCGCTGTGTTGGCCGTGGACAACAGCTGATCCGGCTCACCGTCAGTGTTGAGCCGCTGGTGATATCGCCACAACGGCACCCCACGGCTGAAGTTCACATGTTCATCCGCAGAGCCTGCGGTAAGGCTGCCCTGTACTTATGTCTTCCTATAGCTTAGCTGGAGTACTCCCCCTGTGTAGCGTACAAGAACACCCACCCATGGATTAGGTTTTTCCCCTTTATTGTCACCGTGGCTACCTATCGCCTGCATCACCTGTTCGCCGGCTAGTGTCACGTGATTGTGATTGTGAACGAAAATGTTCACCATATTCGGTCCTGTGAATCCCTGTTGATTTTCTCCTGTGCTTTCAGGTACGGCAGCACCCACAGTTCAGCCCACCACACAGGAGGCCGGCGAGGATGTGGAGACGCGGCCAAACTTCCGAGGGTTCACCCCACCCAGCAGAGAAACGCCGGCAATAACCAAATACTCTGCGGGCATTGCAGCAGTAGGGCTCATAGCAACAGTTGTGTTCTCTATTCTTATCTACCTCTGGTGCCAGCGCAGTGCTAAGCGTGCCAAGCGACGACGTCGGAACTCTCCCAGAGTCGAGTTCAACGCCGACGACAACATTGTGCATGTTGCGTCCAACAGCAGCAAGCGAGCGGCGAATGGCAAGTCCAAGAATGCCGCCAGCGCGAACAGCAATGTGCCGAATAACCAACTACACAGCCAAGTCCGGCAGCAGGATAGTCTGTCTTATGGAGATGTCCAGTCCAACGTGATCACACAGCGGTAAGCAGCAGCTGCTTGTGTGCCGTGTGCTTGTACGTATGCCAGTACGCATGCCAGTTACGGGGAAAGACTTCAGTACATGTATATCCAGAAATACTGAACTCCTGGCTTTTCAAACCCGAATTGGACTGGAGTTGGGCTTAAACCCAGTTTTGATGTACATGTAGTTCTTCGGGTTTTGGACCTTCAATTTCACATATTGGGCCATGCTAAACCTGGCCAAACTTGATAAAACCTGACAGGATTCCAATTTGATTCTGCTCCACAGTGTCAAGGACTTGAAAGAATCAACACGAGCCCATTCCCAGGAGACCTGTGTAGGGAAATTGTGATATTTTCAGACATCTTCGGGTTTTAGCAAAAGAACAAAAGCTTATCTATTTCAAAATAGGCTGTAGTGTGTTCAAGTTGATCTCGTGTCAATGCTAGTAAGATACTTTGCTATTTCTGTACTATAACGTCATGGCTGTACACCTTTCCAGATCAACTCTTTCGGGAGTAACTGGTGGTGCGCATGCAGCTGGTAATGGAGAAGAGGGAGAAGATGATGAACATGGCAGCCACCAGGAGGATGGGGTTGATGCGGAGAACAATGGCGAGGGTCCAGATGGCTCCAAGTTAATGACTATGTCTGATCCGACTAGGCCTGCGTCGCTCAATTCAGGTATTGGGATATTCCAGTTCCTAGCCTGTATTCCTAGACTGATGGTATTTCAGGCACGCATCGATATGTAAAGTCCTTTCTAGCGTACAAGTATTGTGTTTGCATGGATTCATGGTGAGGGAAGCATTTTCTTTTGCAAATGGAATGAAGATTGCACTGTTCATAATGTAGGTTTGTCTTGAGACAGTTGGAATCCCTGCTAATGTCTTCCAATCCATGCAGGTCTTGTCTTGTCTTGTCCCAACCTCTGTGTCATGAATCTCTATCATTGGATGAGAAAGATTTGACGCTATTCTTATTCTAGAACGAATGGGCCGGCAGAGCACACTCTTACGGGTTGTGGAACTCAAACGAGAATTCTACTTCTTCACCAGCTGTCTGGCCTGAAGCTTGGTGTTTGGGTTGCAGGTGCAAGTGCTTACCAGCACTGGTCTCCCATACCTTGTGTTTGCGTGCGTGTGTGTGTGTATTCAGATGAATCAATGAGCTCTGTGGCACCACTGATAACAGTACATGCTACCTACCCTTGGCAATACCATAGTGTGTTCCACGGGTGCATCATTGACAAGGATCGCATCCAGATCGGTCAGATTGTGAAGCAAGGTACGCTTGACAATAACACAAATGCTTTCCAATTACAAAGGCATTATACAAATTCGAGGGGCAGGGTGCTTATTGTGCACACTCAGTGACTGACACTGATGATGCCATGCGGGATACGTTAGGATGATTAGACCCGGTATCCTATTGATTCCATTTTGATGAATTTAAAAGGTCCGGGAAAGGGCGAAGCATTCCTGTGAAAGCTCTGTAAGCGAATGTTTTCTGTGGAGCCAATGTTAGTTCATGAACCTTCTTCACACGTTTGGTGGAGTTCTTGTTGGATCGTGCCCAGACCAAGTGCAGGCTCCCGGAAAGAGCTGGTGGGTTTTTTGTTCTGCATTGCTTGCTGCCATCTTCCCCGAAGTGTTGCCATGTTATCCCTGATAGCATGTTGAACCTGTCTGTCTCCTTCCATCTTTTGTGCAGGTTCTTACGGACAAGTGTTTGAAGGTACTCTTGGTTATCCAGAGCGACTGCCAATCATTGTGAAAACATCAACACGTAAGCTATGATGTCCCATGCATCATGCATATTCCAAGCATGTTTGTTTCCTCTGGTATACATGGATATCGTTTCTTACTCAATCTCCGGACTGCTAGCTGCTGCGACTTTGTTATGTCTCATCAGCAGAGCTCAGAGTCGCTTGCCAAACTTATCGCAGGAAGTCCAGTGAGCAACGAAGCATTATTAAAACAGCTCAATGCATCAGAGTGCTCTGTAAGAAACACAGCGAACTTCGCCTTGCTATTTTCTTATAATTACCTACCAATAATGTATTGTAAAACCATGGATACCTTGCCACCAGAGAACTGTGTTCTATACAATATGTATTCAGCACTCTTGTTTGATGTTGTTTTGATCTGCAGAGAGCGCTCATCAGGATGAAATCCAGCGACTTGCCTTTGAAGCCATGGTGTTGAAGGGTGCCGTGCATAAGTACGTGCATTCCGTTGTCGGTATCTGCTTTGCGTCGACAGCAACTAACGGCGTACCCGTGCCGCCGTTTCTGATCTTCCCAATGGTACCGGGTCAGAAGTCTCTCAAAGACCTTCTTCTGCACACGCGGCGGGTGGCGGGCATCCGCGACTCCAGTACAGATGCCGGGAATGGATCAGTGGGACGAGCTGGTGGAAAGGTACGTGATTTTATACAAACCAGCAGAGCACTCAATCAGCCAATCACTGTGTGGATTCGTGGAAGTTTGTTGCACGTGCAAGCGAATATATATCGAGTATCCAGGTGGAGCTTCATTACTATTCCGATTGTTTCCTTCCAGAAGTTTACGTAGGCTGAATATTAATGATATTCGTTTTTTGAAGAACAGAGATGCTTCTTGCAGCAACTGATGCCGAGTTGTGGTGGTGATATCGTATATCATCAAGATAGTGTGGCTGCAGCGGAGCCTCTGAACTCGTTGGGGTGCTCTATTCTTTCTTAATTAACCTTGTATGCAATTGCGTGCTGCCTTACAGATGCTGTCCACACCGCAGCTAGTGATGATGGCAGCACAGATTGCTCGTGGACTGCGCCATCTGGAGAAGAGGAACATTGTGCACAAGGACGTCGCCACCAGGAACTGTGTGTAAGTAGTTGTGCAGAGTCTGACCTTGTATTTCTATGGGTCATTTCTGTCATTTCATTGTATTGTATTACTCTTCAGACATCAATCCTGAATGGCATAAGCGAAAGTGGCACCCCCGCCACCTACGCGGACATGCTTTTACTACTAATAATAATTATTTGACATGATATTATACCGGTAGGTCAGGTGGGGATAAGTAAAGTATTGTCCGCATGCACGTCCGCTTTACAACCGGCTATACTGATTGGGATAGGCGAGCGGTATTGGAGGTGGCAGAACAACTTGCAGGATTATTACTTACAAGGGATTTAGGCTGGTCGAGAAATGGCTACTAAAGGAAAATAGAATGTGTCGCGTTGCTTGCATTGATGCAATTAGAAGTAGCACGTGTGTGTGGGCACCATAATGTATAATTACCTGCATGTGCATGTGAGAAGGTTTTGTTTTTGATTAATAATGTGTGAATGTGTATGCGTGTATGTATACATATCTGTGGTTTGTGTAGTGTATTGCCCAACCTGGAGGTTCGTATTGGCGACGCCGCTCTCTCCTGCGACCTGTATCCCAATGAATATCACTACCATTTCAACTTTGGACATGCCAAGGTGCCGCTGAAATGGATGCCGCTGGAGTGCATTGAAGATGGTCATTTCTCAGGCAGCAGCGACGCGGTGAGTCACTTGGATTGAGGTCTTGATCTGTACACGATTTATCTAGTCACTCTGTTTCATTAGGGACCTCTGTGAATTCGAGCAGCTTGTTTCTGATGAATTTGGCCAAAAGTACTGCTCAATGCTTACGAAACAACCACTTGCTTTGTCACTGAGCTGTGACGCGATGCGAAACTCTTTATTGTGAGGCAATGTGAGCAGTATGAATGCACCAGGTGAACCCAGTTACCATAGTAACCAATAGGGGTGGAATGAATTCAACGAATATTCTCGAAGAATTCCTTTGCAGAGCATTTCGAAAAATTTGAATTTTCAGCAGCCGAATACTTGGCATTTTACCACTAACCAGCACACAGTGGCCTTTTCCATTGCAAGTACAGCATTGTGGAGGACAATAGGTCTTTGTCCTAATGAACCGAGGGTCATGGTGTTTTATCCTGCATTCATCCTGTGTTCTGTGAACAGTGGGCGTTTGGAGTGACAATGTGGGAAATCATGACACTGGGTAGCTTGCCCTTCGAGGACGTGGATGAGCTGGATCTTTCGCAACACTTGCGCAACGGCCACCGGCTTCAGCAGCCGCGGCGTTGTCCATTCGAACTGTGAGTCACATCGTTCTGTGAAGTGCGGCAGCTCAACTGATGTTTATTCGTACTCATAGTACAGCTGTATACCGGGCTGTGTCTTGGTTGTCCTGTACTCTAAGTCTAACCCAAGCACAACAAACATGATTCCAGTGATATTGAATATTACGTTTTACAGTGCCGGCAAGTGAAATCCAGTCTCTTGCTCGATATCTGTGCCGTGATTTGCAATTGTGCAGATGTTGACTAAGCTGCGGTCCCGAGTGACAGGGTGCGGGGCTGCTTTACACATGACGGTGAACGTTGCCTGCCAGATACCCATATTGAGCAACACAAATGTGTTTTCCGTTTGTCACCAATTTGCTCGATCTGAGCTGCACCTACATGTGCATTGTATGCCTGGTGACTCTCGCCCGCATGCACCGTAAAACTGATTTTATTTTTGCTTTTAATCTGTTGGACAGTTTCGCCATCATGGCACGGTGCTGGGCTCTGTCACCCGAGGACCGTCCAGGCTTTGGATTTCTGGTGCATGCGCTTTACACGTACGCAGACACGTTGCGATGCTACATCTAAACTACGGCGGAATTTACCGTCCCACTCCAGCAAGTAGTGGCGGATGTGTAGGTGCATAGCCCGCTGTGAAGCGATACGGCAGTATTCGTGTGACCGGGTGTGTGATGCTTGATGAACCCTGCTGTCATGTTTAAAACTTGAATGTAGACTTGTACTATATTATTTACATCCTGGTAAGATTTGCATGTACGCACGAACTACAACTTGATTCCCCAACTTGCAATGTACCACCCGGTCAGTATCTGATATAGATACTCTACTGGTATACTACTAAATTCACAATTTACATATCAGATTTTTTTCTATTCACAGATTTGTGTGATCAGGTTATATTTCTTTTTCTACAGAAATCTATGCTTGATCAATGATACTACAGACATATTTCTCCCCCTAAAACCTTCAAACCCCTGTATATACTTTACCCATTCAGGATTGAGATTATCGCCCTGTCAGATGCTACTTCAAAGTAAAATTCAGCCATGGTTTTTTTGTGGAATAGATAGGGGTGGCCAATGAGGGATAGGGGATTTCTAGGACACAGAAACTAGTTTTGCCATCTGTGGCGAATACAAATTTACCAGCTGTATAAGTGCATACCCCCGATTTAAAAAATAAAAATTCACGGTTCGCGTGAGATTCGGCTTGAAGCTGGGTTTTACGCATCCTTCAAGGATCAAGGCGCAGATGCAGCTCCTAAAGCGGTGGGAGGTGAGTAGATCAGCTCACCAGCAAGTGGTCAAAGACCGAAAATCCCATTCACTGCATCCATGTTTTCCTCGTGCCAGGCCACGAGTTCCCAATTAACTGTGGGTCGCAGCACGGCTGGAAAAAATCCTTCCGCTTCCAAGCAGGACTTGAACCTGGTACCCTCTGTTTCTCAATCATGGTCTTAGACCATCCCACTATGCCTGCCTGCTCCCCCCGATTGTAAGTTTTTAATTCATGAGAGGTCGATTCGTAACCAGTAAAGGATGACTGCGTGAAAAAGCGATGGTTGGGAAAATGTCACTTTTCACCTAGTTATAAAATAGATAAACAAGTGCTAATTCTGCAACAAATAGTGTGCACCAGAAATTTGAAATTTGTTTGATTAGCATAAAAGAATCTAGAATGCTAAAGCACAATGCAGCAGCAAAGGCGACATAAGATTTTCATACGAAGTCAGCGAAGCAAGGCGAAGAAGCACAGTAGATTAGTCCATCTTGATGCGCTGGTTGGTCATGCGATAAATGACAGTGTCCGAACCCGGATCCATTGTCCACAAGACGTAGGCAATGGCAAGCGTGGACAGAGCAAATATGAGGAAGACCAACAGGAACATGGTGAAGGCCGCTGTCCAGTTCTCAGAGCGGACAAAGGCCAGATTGTATTTGTCAGCATCATCCTAAACAGAGATGAAATCAAGAACAAAGACATGGACAAACGCCAGATTGTATTCGTCTTCATCATCCTACATACAGAGCAAAGACCTGGACAGCACGCTATATTAACCTGCATTGTAAAGCCATTGGCATTGTCAACGCCACGAGCTCTCCACCTGTTCACTCCATTGACGAACTTTTGTAATGAAGATACAGTCGACCTACCCTTATAACGATATTTGCGGCAGACCAAGAAATATTGTTATAAGGCCACCTAGAATTAATTCGTTGTTTCGGGTCACTTCACTCATCCGTACCAGGGTCGGTCGGTCGGGTTTATTTATTTTTTTATTTTTTATTTTAGTTGCGGGCATGTGCATACACGTACAATTGTGCATATCGAATAGCTTTTCTCCATCAAGCCAGTCGATCAAATCTGGCTGTAGTCGATCCAGCGTAGCCATTGTCCCATCAGATCCAGGTCCTCTCCAGGACCAGATATTGGCCTCGCTGGCAAACGAGTCTGACGAGCAGCTCTCACCTTGAAACTTGTCAATGAGCGACGCAGTGGCGGAGCTGATGCTGTTTCAGGAGGACCGACTGCGGATCGGAGATAGAAGACAACGGTTACGTCGTCACCAAGCGCTGCATCCTGTCCCGCTGCTTCTGAGGTCGATGTCTGGATTGCTATTATTTGGGTCGCGAGTGTACATAGTCTAGTCATGCACATTTGCTATAAAAAAACTATAAAAAAATTAAAAATTGCGGTCGGGTGAAAAAAGACGGTCGGTCGGGTGACCCGAAACAACGAATTAATTCTGGGTGGCCTAAGGGGTCGTCCACAATTATCGAACTTTTTTTCACGAAACGAAATAATTTCGTTATGGGATGGGAGGGGGTTGACCAATTTCGTTTCAGAAAAGTTCGATACATGTACATGGCCATAGGAGCAGTTACACACTTGCGGTTTTTGTTGTATATGCATGTATATGTCAACAATTTTTACGTTCTGAGGGGGAGGGAGGGAGGGGTTGGGTCTAAACTAAAATAATTCGTTAGGTGAAAAAAGTTCGATATTTGCGGACGGCCCCTAAGGGTAATATTGTTATAGGGGTAACTGGTTCATTTCATACACATACGTCATAATGCATGGATTTTGTTAATTTTTTACACCCTTCATATCATAAAAACTGACGTACATGCACATTATGTACACAGCAAGGTGCCCGCTGGTGCCCCCATTGTATTTCATCATGTCCCAGTGACTTCAAGTGAAGCTTGCCCTACCTGGATAGTGGGTTCTACATATTCCCTGCTAGATATTGTTATAGAATGGAAAATGTCGATTGGTCAGCCCATTTTGTATCGTTATAGGGGTAATATCGTTATAGCAATCTTTACTTATAAAGAAGATGCACCTGTGACGTGTGTCTGTGTGTCAAGCTCAGGCCATCCTGCGGAGCAGCGCTGCCCTGAGCACGCGAAGCGTGCGAACAGTGTAGCTAGCGGCCGCAGAAGCACTGAGCACGCGAAGCGTGCGAATCGTGTAGCTAGCGGAAGCAGCCACAGAAGCACTGAGCACGCGATCGCGCGAAGCGTGCGAATCGTGTAGCCACCACCACGTGCTGAGCACGCGAAGCGTGCGAACAGTGTAGGTAGCAGACACGATCAGTACGAGTAGCAGTAGCAGCCGCGCGCAGAAGCACTGAGCACGCGAAGCGTGCGAATCATGTAGCCACCTACAGTCCATTCAGAAAAATATGAACTTCTAGCTTTTGGCCATAAATGGGTCAAACGTTGAGTTTTTTTAGAATTTTTTTCTGCAATCCCATATGGAATCCTCTTCCAATTATGTTTCTGAAGTTTTTTTGTCCAAAAAGCAAGCCATAGCAAGAATAGGATTTCGGCCAGGTTTTGCCCCAAAAGCACTGAATTGGGAAAAACCATCAAAATCCAGGCCGTTTGACCCCGCCTGCAACAGTACATTCTGCGGTTCGAACCCCAGTTCAGGCACCCTTTTTGGACCCTTTTTCAAATTTCAAAGTTCGCAGCACTGCACTGTGTACGATGAAATCACGAAAAATCGCCAAATACGGGAGCTCGCCAGAGCCAGGACCCATCTTTTTATGAATGGACTGTAGCCTAGGCCATAGGTAGCACTAGCAGCCGCACAAGCGCTGCGGACCACGTGAACCGTTCTCTGCAAATAGAAACATCTGCAACAAAAGGATACAAAAGATCTGCACTGACTGCACTCTGCATCTGATCTGCAGTGAAGAGCGCATCGCACTTTTGTTCGTTAGTTTATGAATTTTTTGAGCCGCTTCATCCGCCACAACCCTGACCAGCCTCCCGAAGGCGTAACAGACTGAAGAACCTCCCTCACCAGGACTTCAGCGGTCTGGCCACCACCACGTGCTGAGCACGTGTGCTGTTCATGTACTTGCTTCACCCGCATGCCACATTCGGCCAGGCAACGCTGGCCGGGGGTGCTGCTAGTATTGTTATAGAGGTAAGGCATTGTATACACAAGTCAATGGAGTGATTTGGTTTGGCAGAAAAATATCGTTATAGAGGTAATATCGTTTAAGGGTAGGTTGACTGTAGTGGTAAATTGGAGTCCATATCAGTCTATCATTGGCCAGACTCATGGCAATACATAATCTATACTTGGATCACTCACCGAAGTGATGTTGTACAGCACATTGACGGACAAGAGACGTCGCCCAGACACAACTGATGATGCTGCCGCCTCCGATGTTCCGCACACAACCTAAAGACAAGAAAAGTCAAGGAAAGAACAACAAGACCTCAGGGATAGGGTTTCATTTCTCCTCCATTCATCCAAATAGCCAATATGAAACGTTAGGTACTGTTATACTGCATCCGGTGATGCTAAGCATGAAAAGCAGCACGGCATAAAGGTTGTGCGAATGACCTCATCACATACGTACAGGCGTTGTATTGAGTGACACGCATGCACCTGTGAGACCGCAGTTTTGCCACTCAACACAAAACATCTCCAATGATGACGCAATCGCATAGACTAGTCTTACACACCACACAGGACCACACAGGTAGTCAAATTGCTAGTCAAATTGCTAGTCTAAATGCTACTCTCTAAAGGGTAGTCTAAAAGTTAGTTTGAACAGCTAACAGCTGCTCTGAGTCCAAAATCTAGGCTGCAAAAGCTGGTCGAAAGGTTAGTCGAAAAGCACATACCTTGACTGGTGACCCTGAAAGAGCTTCCTGTGCACGCTGGCAAGCCACTTCGTGCGATGCCTGTGACAAGGAAAACGCAGAATTACGAGTTTAATATAAAATACTAACGGCAATATCAACCCTCCCCAGTAGTAGCATGTGCATGAACATAGCAAGATGAAACGTTGATCAGAGCGGTCATCTAACTGCGCGTATTAACCGGATCCTTCAACGTCACTCAATTCAACACAGACAAACAAGTCCTCATCTAGCGTGTGTTACCTGAGCAGACAGATGAATGTGCGGCAGGTCACCCTGGAACGCCGTCATGGTCTGAAACAAAACACAGAAAGGGAGGTTATCAAGCAGCATTAGAACGAGGCATCCTATGCATCCTATTCTTACACAGCATGAAACTTGACACCCATACATCACGGGATGATGAGGAGCAAAACCACAGGGAGAATAGTTAGAACAACGGCTCACAAAGTGTGCACCTCTGTACACAAGCAAACCATTGGCTTCATAGTCACCCTACACTGACTCATCGAGTCGATAACATGTCTTTGTAGTACAACACCTGGCACTGGACAACAGTACCTACCTGGGCTTTCAGATGATCCTTGAGTTGCTTATACAGAGCTGACACATCACCCGCATGCGTCAGGAACTGCTCACTGCACAAATCACAATCATGCATCAGGATCACAACTGTCACATACCAGTGCTACATGAACTGAGTGAGTGCTTCAGACAACAACTTCGTGCTAATCCGGGCACATTCTTAGAAAACAGGAACTGTTGGAATAAGCTTCCGATCAGGTGTGTAGCATGCATGTGATCCCAGATAATAGGACATCCATGGCAGTGCGTAATTGTAAAGTGCTCTAGTTGCTAATAACATGCCGTCCTCCTTACAGATGTTGGTTCCTAGTTGCAGAAGGTCAGGATACCGTACAGGAAGTGAAGATGTTTTGCAAGCAATGTGAGCACTCTTTGCTTGGCAAATACATGCTACGAGATGTGGAGTAACTAACCTGACTATATACAATGTATACAGGGTTCTAGCCAAAGGGGGGGGGGGGGGTGCTGCTGGGAGTGAGGAACAGAAGATGACTGCATGCACTCAGTTGACTGACCATGTTCACAGGGCGCCGAGGGAGAGAGAGCTACCGGCAGAAAACCACAGATGCCGCTGCCGAGCATCAGCAAGTTTCATCTATGCCTTCTGCTAATCGCCCGCCGCTAACAAAGTCTCACTACACATTTGACTTTGTTCACAGCATCAGCTTGCCATGCCATGCATGGCAAAAGTGCACTTGTTTGGTATTTGTAATGAAAGCGTTGGCGAACAGGTGAATTACATCATTGATGGGGCCGAAACCAACAGTTCTGACGGCAAGAAGAGCCATAATCCGAACACAATAATTTCTTTGTTGCATGATTATATATTGCGACTTATGTTGCCGATGAATATGGGAATGTGCGTGCGCAATCCATCTATAAAAATGAATAACCTTCTTGTTCTAAGACCAATGTTGAATTCCAACAACACCGTCCTTCTCTGTGCGTGCTGAACGGTTACACTGGTAGCAGAGGATGGTTTTAACCATGAGGATGATTCGACCTCCGCCGCTCCAACCACCTGACGCGTCACGGTTCACCTGAAGAGTCTCACACTGGGTAACAAGGACCAGCAAAGGAGGTGACCGAAGACGGCGCTTGGCTGAGGAGTAGAGCAACGGAACGACGCGACGTACATCGACTGAAACGTGAGGGAACGGCTACTGACGATGTACGTTCGTACAGCCTACAGGACGAGAGCTCAGCGGATACTGGATGTGACACCACGAGAGACTTGAGGGAATGGCTACGATTGGTTCTTGTACCTGTATGCTGAGCACTCTGGCGCTAGAGCGACGAGCTATCTTAATGTCTGTGGTGCCTCCATTGCACCATGGCTGGTAGCTCGGCCTATTTAGCTCGGCCTATTTAGCTCGTAGCTGTACTGATGAGGCCTGTCTACAGCATTGGGTAATAATCTGTATCAATATCCTGATTTCGAAAAAAAAGTGTCAGCACCGACGCAATCCACACAGTCAAGTAATGCCAATTTAGTAACCGAACGCTTTCGTTCCCTTCTCATCATGGGTATGTACAGGGTTCCATGCGTGGATTGCGTCGGTGCCGACACTTTTTTCGAAATTGGATAAGCCTCCAATTTTTCCTTACAATATCCTGATTATGTTTGTTTTACGCTTATGAGTTATGTTACTGGGCTGGATGTTACTGGGCTGCGTTTACAGCTTGCTTTACAGACATATACACATTTTACTGCAGCTAGTGTTCTGCTAGATGTATATTTTCAGATAGGTAGCCAAGCTAGGGAGATGGAGATGGTGTAAGAGTGTCACAGCTGTTACGCGCCGGCTTACTGTTAGACTAGGGGCCTGTCAGCGCAATGTGCGCGCGCAATCCATCTATAAACGTTAATAACCTTCTTGTTCTAAGAACAATGTCGACTTCCAACAACACCGTCCTTCTGTGCGTGCTGAACGGTTACAGTACTGGTCACTTTAAGGTTTCCGTAACACACTATGGCCAAACTATTGCAATTTACGCATTGCAAAGATTGTTCATGAATATGTGCGATGTTTTTTTGCGAAAACAGTGTTGAAATAAACGTCCGTAACTTTTATGTTGATGGATTTTCATTCGTTTCTATCTGATTCGGACGTTGTCTGGTTACAAGAATCTGGTGATAATAACTCAAAATGCCCCAAAATCGGGATAACGTCCCTTTTCGCGTGCTCTGGCTCAATTATATCTAACGCCACACATGCACATGAACTTGTGGGAACTACATGCCATGTAGTTCCCACAATTTTCAAGTGTATGTATGGCACACCGTCATGGCATACAAGCCATGTGTCGGGACCCTACCTGTCAAAAGCCAGCTCCACCAACTCCACGACGGCATCGTCCTGGTAGAGTTTGGATAGCTCAGTGGCGCACTGCAAACAAAGGAGGCACACCACACAGTCACCACCGACCAGCACACAACAGCCTTGCTATACCGACCCAACACATACATGTACATATGGGGATCATCAATTTTGATGAAACTGTTCCGGTTGTGTCCAATTACATTGAAGACACAGACGGGTGTTGCTGGAACATTGCTATCCACAAAAGGACACACCTTGCCCAGCTATCCAGCTACTGCACATACCTGGGGGATCACACTAGAGAGAATGGCCATTGCTGCTTTCACTTGCGGTGAGTTGCTGCCGAACTCCACGTGAAGATTCTAAGAAGAGAATAGGAGGGAAGATAGACAGAGAGAGCATTCCTTTGGGTTGAAACAAATTCAAACTGAAATGTGATAGCTATGTCTCCAAGAGGGGGCTTTGGCTTCAGATAACAACTGCACTGTACATACAGTCGACTCCACTTATAACGAACTCGCATATGGCGAATTTCGTGATATAGCGAACCCTTGTCCATGTCCCTGTTTGAACCCATACAAAATTGACCCTCTATAGCGAACAGTTTTCGTTTATAACAAACCAAATCTTGTAGGGCCGCATGTAAACCAAGTGCACACATACTGTCATTGGCCACTTGCCAGTCATGACTTGCTGTTCGTATGGTGTGAGTGCATTTCTGTTATAACGAACAGTTCGGCTATAAAAAGAACTAATTCTCCTGTACAATGGTGTTCGTTATATCAGGAGTCGGCTGTACACGATTGTAAAATTATCTTTGGGGGGGGGGGGTGTCACGTGAGCAAAAACGTCCAAAAATGTGACATCACATTTGATACACATCATGGGTGACAATACTAAATTGTTACCAATGCACTAAACCCGGTATTCTGTGCAACCTGCGCTTTGCACACAAGAAGAACAGCAGGCATAGTCAATATGAGGCTGAAATTGGTAAGAATGCTTCAGGTGTGTGCACATAGTTCACACCAGGGAGTAGTAAAATACAGGGAGGTGACACGCCACTAATCGTGATTTTTGATGGGTGCCTCGCGCTTGTTTTTTTTTCTTTCGCAAAAAAAGATGATCTGCTGAATCAATCTTGAGTATTTGTCGAAGAACTAATTCCGTGAAAAGCTCTATCCATCTTATGGAACAGCATTTGTTTTGCTCTTGTGATACATCTGTGTCATCGTCATATGGAAAGGTACCACCTTTCCGAAATTCGTCCCGATCGACGGCATGGAGCAATAGAACGAAGGTGATTTCCTTGAGAACAATACGTGTACGATTGGAGATGAAAAGCGAGTGCACCGATTTCGAAGTCGAAAAAATCTCTAGGACACCACACGATCGGCACTAATTTCTCCTCAGTTGTGATCAACTAGTACTTCTCTACCTTCTTTGTGATGATGAGCATTTCATATTATGGTATGCTAGAGATTCGGGAGTTCACTTTTCGGAATGAAATGTTCCTAAGTATGTCAAGGATTGAAATGCGGGCTACGTCGTCGTAAACAGCTTGTATCGACACAGGAAAAATCTACGGCACGCAGGGATATCTCCCAAAGTGATACCACTCTTGCTGGACTTCTATCCTGACATAGTGGTAGTTTGGTCGAGTACCAAACTTTGTAAAGGCAGACAATTGTTGGAAATTCTCAGCGCTGAATTTCTACGGGCTGCAGTAGGAGTCTCTTTGGCGGTAGGTATTTTACTACTCCCTGATCGAGAGAATCCTGATCCGCGCGCGTGTCACACACTTCGGTACCCATAGTACCCCAATCTCACCCGCCGGGTGAAAACTGTGCTGAGGCAATCGTCAAACTGGCCGTACATGCTCGTGTCACCTCCCTGTATTTTACTACTCCCTGGTTCACACATACCTACAGGCTACAAGCACACATGTACACATACATACCTTCAGCGATGAAATGGTGAGAGTCAGTACATCGGGAATGTTGTCTGCAACAAGACTTGAGTCAGTAGAGAGCTGTATCACAACAACAAATACAAGGGACAACGAGTTGTTTATCATCCCGCTTAAGGTAGAGGATCAGGATTCTAGGGACCTAGACACAATCCATACCATGGCTCGTAAACAGAGAAAGAGACTGCCAACATTCTATGCACAGACTTCGCATCACATATTTAGAAGACTCTGCTTTGACTGAACAAAGCGGCTATTTTCCCTATTCAGGATTGGCAGCGCTAAGAAGCGGCATTGATTGGTCCGGCCTTCCCTTATACATTCATTTAGAGCGCACTCAAGGACCTAGCCACAAATGACCATACCACAGGATGCTCTTCAATAAGCAATAGAAAACATGGGTTGCCGAAAAAGAGGTCCGACCAAGGTCTAACCGATCAGCATGGTGGGTTTACCAGCTGATGGCTGCATGCATGCAACACAATCGCTTACCACTTTGACAATCTGCTTCAGCGATGCCAGTTCAGCCAGAAATGATGCACTTTCCTGCGGACACAATAATAGAGGAAACGACAGGAATGGCATGTGTAAATACACTGCACAAACAGGATTGCCGCATGGATCACCTGACATACACTGCAGAATAGCGTAGTCACTGCACAACTTCCGGAGGCAGATACATAACACAGCGGACGCAAGCACACACGTGCATACCTTGTTGTTCATGCTCAAGATGGGAGCTCCATGCGAGACAATGGCCATGGTGTTACGATCAAACTTGTAACCTAGCAAGACCAACACATCACACAACCATCGCAATGGATCAAGTCTCAGCAACATTCAACTGCAAAGCATTATTAGTTGGACTTGTGCACCCACACATCAACTCCGTGATCGATATAGTATTGGATACATACCTCATCTGACGACAAAAGCAAAAGAGATGATCACCAAACTCCTGGCCTCAACTAACCTGCGGGGAGTTGCAGCGTTGCAAGGTTATCTTGAACCTGCGACACATAAGGAATACACAATACATGACCTCATCATTCCTCAGCACGGGTCACAAGTAAAAGCTTCGGACTCCAGAGCTCTATGACGAGAATATTTTAACACTTCAACTTTCAGCGGTGTATGTGCCAAATACAATGCCGTAGTAGCTAGGCAAATGTCACGTGAATTGAGCGCCAAAATGAATGCAAAATGTTTAATAAGGGACACGTCTGTGGAACACACCAGCAGTAATACCTCAGTTTCATGTTACCTACCTGGTTAGTCGTCATGGCCATTAGGCTGTTTGCTGGCTGTGCTACAACCTTCTGTGTAGCTTGGTCATAGAACATTGAAACACTGTTCTTTCCTCCGGCGCCGGCAGCACTGGCAAGCTTCAAATAGTAAACAGAAGGTGAGCACAGCATTGCAACATAGAATTTAGAGTCAAATGCTGCTAAAGAGAATGTGAATGACATCCCTATATCTGCAACTGATGTGTATCGCAGACTCAAGGCAAGACATATTCCTATGCCCAAAGGGACCGATAATGTTCAAGACACTGGCAAGCAGGAAAAAGGAGCGGCGAGACAGTCCTGATAAAGCCGACATCTCTTGCACAACCGCAGATGAAGCCCCATTTCACGGGCTCAGGTGATGAATGGTGTTGCTGCCCGTTCTCCACTCCCTGAGACCCTGGGCAAGGGTATACCAGTCCATGATTTGTGATCCATCAACATGGCCCCGCCACCGCTTCCGAGTTCCATAGCGTGGCTCTGTCTTCTCCAGTTCACCAGACACAGTTTGGAATGCAAAAGCCTCCATCGATGAACATTGCCCACAATCCAGTTGAACATTTCAAGTTCTCCAGTACTAGCATTCAGAAAACATGTACTTTACAAACTTTGCTGCATCGCCAAGTCCCAGATGTGTTCTTGTCCTCAAGTGCTCTTGTACATCATGTGTTGACACGAATGGCAAACACATTTCCTCATCTTACATGTTCATCAGCTGACATGGACAGGACGAGTGGAGAGCCGTGGAACAGGTCGGAAACGTGAGCTCCAAGACTCTTGCCACCGGCCACTGCGTGCACAGAGAGACTGGCTGGTGCGGTGTGATCCTGCATGCATGCAGCATAGAAAGCATCCACAGAAACAGCATGATCAGCGGTCTTGGCTGGGTACACTTTCACATGGGCTAGGCAATCATAGAAGAGGGTACTTTTTGTTGTTGAGGATGATGTTATTCTACTCTGGGGGGGGGGGGGGGGGGGGGCAACCAGCTATAGTTCTATTACAGGGTACCGAGGGAATTTAGTGCAGATCGCGTTCAGAAATGTACCAGCACAAACAAGCAGATGACAGAAGCATGTCAGTCCATGAACCTGCATATGAAAATGACAAGTACTTCAGACCAGAAGACCTAGTGGCAAGGGGAAGCATAAGCTGCTTCTGTGTCACCCCACATGTGACTCGACCAGCAGTTATTTCAGCTCTGACTTTGAAGAAAAACACAAAATTCAGGTGTAGGAGACGTTCAACTCCACCCACGACAGAATATAAAAAATGGATGTCCACATAGCAACAATGTCACAGAATGCCACTCAGGCCCACCAGGGGCAAACCGCAAACCACTGTGCTAAGCTAACCAAGCACAACTCACCACTTCCACTTTGCTTGTCTGCTGAGCTTCAACTGCAATTGACTCGCCTGTGCATCAGGACACATCCGGAAGCAAAACACAAAAAGGAAAACTGCACATGACCAAGAATGCTGGAGTACCACTAAGCACGGCACAGTAGCAAACTTGAGTGAAATTCACATAATATTATGGCATTCAATCGTTATTCTACACTGAACTATGATCATTCGGTGAGGGAGTAGCTCATACCTGGCTTCACGCCATCAACAACAAACATGATGTTCGACTTTGGGCGGTGGAAGAGGCTGCCAGGTGACAAGCCATCCCATGTCAGAGTCTGCGACAGTACACAGGAGAAATAGACAAACAAGAAAACCGAAGAGCAAGATAAGAAAGCGAGAAGACATGATTCTGGTGCTGGGCTCCTGAAAGAAGACAAGGTCTCCGCTAAAACAAAACCAAAAGAATGGTGGTGGCGGTGGTGGTAGTGGTGGACATGCGACATTGCCATGCGAAGTTCTCCGTAACTGCACGGCCGATTACAGGGCGTAGCACCGGGATTTCAGGTGGTCCGGCCAAATGGGATACTTGACCGGAAATGAACTTTATCGGTGAAAAACCCTTTCTGCACCAATTGGGTGGGTTCACTGTTCAGAAAAAAGGTCCCGCCATGGCCATGATGGGTGCTACTGGCCTGAATTAGTGCCAACGATAGTTTGGCACCTAGTTTCAGCGACCACCAGGTCACAAGGACCTCTTTCTTTTGTCTTTGACACCAAGTGTGATGAATGTTCAAGGATCACCTTGGCTTTAGAAACCACATGCGTAGAGCGACCGTGACGGCCCAGCCTAGCCTACGTGGGTAGTCGCCGAAACCAGGTTTTTCAGGGCCACGCACTTGCAATGCCATGCCCCTCGCCAGGCATTCGGTCTTCCATGTTTACGATACACTGGGTGCATCACTACTGAGTACATACATCGCAAATAACAATTTACCTTGCTCGGTGCCAAACCCAGAGCGAATGCCGACACAGCACCGACTTCCTTGGCGGGCAGCGGCAGCGATGATCCGACAAAGTTGACGTAACCAGGGGCATGCAGCACGGAGAACTTCGAGTCGGTACTGACTGTATTCTGCAAGCACGCGAGAAGAATAAGAGAATAACAGAAAACAGACAATAGGCCTGGTGCCTTCGTACTCTCCGTGTGCGTCGGTGTGTTTCTGCCATACCTCTGACTTGCTAAGGAACAAGCTGCGCTCAGCCCAGCACGAACCTGCACAGCAGAAAGCGAGAAAAACAATTCAAGCACGCAAATATAACTGAGATAGCGCTCCGAAGCGACGCTACCACCGGCAGTTATGGCTCTTACTTATCGTGGCGAGGCATAAAAGAAGACCAAGCTTCGTTGAAAGACCCATTTTTGATTTCCAACTGGCGAAGCCAAGCGACACAAACGTCTTCCTTGGGAGATATTTCGAAATGTGAAGCTTCTTTCTTTATCAGCCGTTTGGCTTTTACTCAGGTCAGGATGTCGTCAGGCACCTGGCTCAGTGACTGCCTCGGTTTCGCTTGGCTGCGTACATGTACATGCGTAGCGTGCCCAAGCGTCGCCATGATTTCTCGTGCGATGACGTCAGGCGCACTGAATTCTACGCGAAATTTTCGTGATTTCGCTCACGTGAACGAGCGATTGGGATCGAGTCTCCCGCCAAACTCACCCGACCCATGTGCCGCGGCAAGATTGTTACTTCGGGTGACCGTTCAAACTGCTGTGGTCGTTTCAAACTCTGTTTTCTTGTTTGGTTCTGGGCTTCTCGTTCTTCGTTCTTCCTCAGTTTGAGATCGCGTCCCGAAAGCCAAGATGGCTAGGAGGCTAGATTATGACGAGGAGAAAGGTTGGCTTAGCTGACTTGGCTTCTTTCCGTCCGGAAAACTGGAATGCTAATGTTTGGGCGGTGCTCTCTCCATTTGAATTTGCTACACAGAGAAATGTAAGAAGTTCCTCAAGGAATTCTACTTGGATGGAGACCAAGGGAAGTCCTTCACCTATGGAGAGCAGCTCGTAAGGCACTGTTTTTTTCATTTCAAACACCGAGATTTGAAGTCAGCTCTGAGTGAGAGAAGAGAAGTTTACAGTGTCAAGTTCGCTGTCATTGTTGTACACTCGGATCACCTCTAAAGAATGTATAGACCCCATGTTCAGTGAGATTGCAACAGTTTAGTTTCAAGTTGTATTTGTTGAAGGTTTGAGATTTCTCCACCTCAGCTATGGCGTGTACTATTATTATTTAAATTTTATCAATGCTGGTCTCTAGACACTCAGACTGCCACATTGTATTCCATGATTACTTGCTTCCCCAAGAACCAAAATTCAACTTCTGAAGGAAAAGAGAAAACATACTGTTGTGGACAAAGAAATCTGGTGGAATGACCGGGTCAGCGCCCTTACTTGCTTAGCGCGTACATGCACTGCGACACTGTAAAAATGGACCGACATTGCTCACGGCCAGCGCCCCGTGGCCACTTGGCTTCTCGACGGATTTCAATGTCCGCAACTGTAGAACGAACTATCCACGGTGCAGTACGACCTGTATTGCATGTCACAGGGGTGTTGTCACGGGAGCAGCCAATTAGCGAGTGCGGGATGTGCTTTGCGATATTTCGCTTGCCGCTCCCTACTCTTGCATGCCGAGTGAATGTTTGGTGCGCAAGCTACGAAACCATTTGCGAATGGAACTGAAGCCACCAGTTTGGAGCTACCAGATCTCCAACCACGACCCCTCACAGAGCATCGCCTTTTACACATGTAGCGCTGTGTGGATCGCCATTGTTCCATACAATGCATGGTGTATAGACACTGCCCTACAGCGACATCATCGGTAGCCATAGGTTATTGTAGCACGGTTGCACATTCTAAAATGTACGTTCCACTCGACGGTGAGTAAGATCCTTTTGGAGTTTGG